TAGCTAGACTCCATTCATTTGAGATAGTACATGTATAATATTTGGGATACACCTTTGGTGTACCCTTAGCATTTCCCTAAATTTATTAAGTATTTGAGTCTCAAATGTATATACTCGTACTATCTTTGGCCCAAAATGTTTGACACATTTTGCAAAATAAAGTAAAATATCAAATTTTTTCAATTCATTTTATTTAAATATTGGTATGAAAATAAAAATAAAATCAACATATTTAAAAACTACGTAAAAAATTCTTCAAAATAAGATGCGTCAAAAATATTTTATTTTATTAAATAATCAATAAAAATGTATGAAGGATATAAATTGTATCCCTAAAATTTAGACTTATACTAAAATACACTCCAGATTTAATTGAAAATAAAATTGAAGCAAATGTTATAAACAAAAGGGGAACAACCGGAGCCGACCAGACGAATGGAGATACAAACCAAAAACAAACCAAAGAACGACCGGAGCGGCAGCCCATCTCGTCGCTAGTTCCAGCTTGTGGTTGGATCGGGAACTGACTGTTTCGGAACAGTCCGTGTCAACCAATTAACCATCTCTCTATGAGTGGTGTTTTCCACACAAGATATAGATATTCACGTTAAAAGGGGTAAAAGAAACAGAACCATAATGGGAAATTGGCCAATTCAAGTACGTGCATACTTAATATAGAAAGGGTAAAGTGAAATACTCCTTTTCACCACACTGCATTTTGAACCAAAGAAGTCCAATTCCCGGCCACACGATACTGCGAAATGAGCGAAAAAGAAAAAGGAAAGTTTAATTTGTAGGTAAAGAATATGGGGAGTATGTGGAGTCACTGCCTCGGACAACTAGGGAGCCACGGAAGACATATTTACGGAGATACCCGTTGAGATATATCACTCCGGCCACTCCAAATCAACACTCAAGCGTTGTATTCACAATTTCACATAGTGTCACATTTAATGATAATACTTCTATTTTCATAAATAATTTCATTCGAATTAAATTCTATCATTTACTTACTACTCCATATGTCCTAAAACGTTCTTCTCAGTTATTATTCACATGGTCAAATTTTAGTCACTTTCTTTACATATTTTTGTTAGTTATTTGATTAAATAATATAGTCTTGTCATCACCTTTTAGTTTGTAGACTTTTGATGTACTCCGTAGTTCTTAAATCTGTAAATTTATTTTTTGATTTTATATCTACAATCAAATAAATTGAATTAAAAGAAAGTCGGTCAAATCTTGTAAACAGAATGGGAAGAACCTTTTAGGACGGAGGGAGTGTCAAGGAACCAACTCAACCAAAAGCTCAAGCTTGTGGTTGTGGCCCAAGAACAGTTATTTATATTCTAACACGTCCCCTCACGTGCAAGCGTAGTGTTTTTCGAGCCTTGCACGTGAAACCTTAATTTTTTTTAAAATTAGGTGGCACTGAGTTTCGTATCTGTGACCTATTAGTCAACGAGGCTCGATACCATGTCAAGGAACCAACTCAACCCAAAGCTCAAGCTTGTGGTTGTGGCCCAGGAACGTACAATTATTTATAGGGAGTACAAAATATTAAGACTATTAAGACAAAATAATAAAAAATTATTTTGTTATTATTATTTTACTTCGGTATTAGTATTTTTTCCCTTATATTCATTTTTTTCTTATTAATTTTTTTGTTTTTTATATTGTAAGAAATGAAAGCACCCAAAAAAGATATTTAATTAAAAAACACATATATTACATGAATAAAGAAAAATACACGACATTTGCAACGGAAAGTGAAATTATCTGCAATGTGTTGGGGTATCCCTCCTACATGGAGGAAGGAGTTCCTAAACTAGTTAAAAATGTAATTGGTTTAGAGTTGGTTACTATAATAATAATAATATTAATTATTATTATTATTATAAAGAAAAATAAAGAAAGAAATGGGTCAAAGTGGTGGGGGCTACCACTTACCTTTGGGGCTGCCACTTTGTAGAAAAGGCAAAGCCTTTGTTTTGACTGGTCACGGGCAGAAAGGCAGCCNAAAAATAGAGAGAGCCGAGAGAAGGAAGAAGGGAGAAAAAGAGAGGTGCAGCCTGGTTTTGTGCTTCGATCGATGACCAAACGAGCTCCGATCCGGATGAAATTTTAGTATGTTGTTCCTCACATCCTCTTCTTCATATCCAACGGTGGGATTGTTGTTTTGACCTCTCGATGTCGGTAAAACTGCCTCTGTTTGCTGCTGCATTTTTGTATGGGTTTTCTCACTTTTGAATGAAGATTATTGTTGTTTGGTGTTCCAAGTTGTTGCTTGATGATTGTGTATACCTCTAATTGATTTAGAGAGGATTCTTGGTGTACCCACTGATTTTTCTTGGTGATTAGTGGAAGGGTTCGTGGTTTTTCCCCCGATTTGGGGTTTCCACGTTAAATCTTGGTGTTCGTTTATCGTTTGATTGATTGTTTGTTGTTGTGTTTGCTATTCTTGATCGGTCATATGATTTTGCCCATTTTGACAACACAAAGACGGGAAAATTATTAATTGCTTCCGCTAGAAAATTGAGGTGATTTTCCCAACAATTGGTATCAGAGCTTGAGTTGATATTTTTGGGTGATTTTCTTGTGTTGTTAAAATGGAGGATAAAGCTGTTTTTGGGGGAATGATTAAATTGAACTCCTCCAATTATCAAAGTTGGAAACCCAAGATGGAAGATATTTTATATATTAAGGATTTGCATGAACCGATCCTGAATAAGGAGATGCCAAGTGGTAAACAAGAAAGTACTTGGAAATTGCTTAATCGGAAAACTGTGGGAATGATTAGGCAATTCATTGATGATAGTGTGTTTCAGCATGTTGCTAATGATACCAACGCCTATGAACTGTGGGAGAAACTCAAATGCATGTATGAGAGAGAAAATGCCCTGAATAAAGCCTCTATTATGAGAAGACTTGTGAAACTTGATTACAGGGATGGGCATAGTGTGGTAGAGCATTTGAATGATTTTCAGGGATTGATTAACCAATTGTCTTCTATGAAATTGGTTTTAGATGATGAATTGCAGACGTTGTTGCTCCTCAGCTCGTTGCCAGAAAGCTGGGAGACCTTGGTTGTATCACTTAGCAATTCTGCTCCAGAGGGTAAGCTCACAATGGATGTTGTGAAGTCGAGTCTGCTGAACGAAGAAGCTAGGAGAAGAGATCTGAGTTCCTCCAGCTATTCAGATCAGGCTCATGTTGCTGAGGCAGAGGGTCGTGGAAGACACAGACATAGGGACTTTGACTCCAGGGGGAGATCTAAATCAAGAAGCGAAGTGAAATGCTTCTATTGTGATAAACCGGGTCATAAGATATCTCAGTGCAGGAAGATGAAGCGAGATAAAGCCCAGCAGAAAGAGGAAAATGGTCAGACTTCTGAGAAGAAAGAGGAGAAAGACACAGCAGCCCTTGTAGATGCGGATGATTTATTCTTCGTGTGTGATGACACTAACTTTGATGTTGCTTTTCAGGATTGTACTTGGATCATTGATTCAGGTGCCTCATGTCATCTCACACCTCATCGGGAGTTCTTCTCGTCTTACACTAGCGGTGATTTTGGCTATGTAAAGATGGGAAAGGGTGACAAATCATCTAAGATTATTGGGATGGGCACTGTTTGTTTGAAGACCAACACTGGTTGTAGGTTGACCCTCAGAGATGTCAGACATGTTCCAGAGTTTCGGTTCAACCTCATTTCAGCTGGAGGACTTGACGGAGATGTTAGCCGCCTTGGTGAAGGAAAGTGGAAGCTCACCAAAGGTTCTTTGATCGTGGCCCGAGGTAAGAAAGAGAACAGGCTTTACGTGATGCAAGCAAAGATGTGTAGAGGAGATCAGAACAATGCGCCCTCCACGGATTTATTGCACAAGAGGCTTGATCACATGATTGAGAGTTGTCAGAGTATCCTCCCTGAAGACGACATTCCTTTTCCTACCATTCAATCAGATCATGGGGGAGAAGATGGAGAGCAATGTGTGTGGTGATGATGTTGCTCGTGATAGCGATGTACTTGAGCCACCTCATATTGAGCATGGAGTTCCGCCACAGAGGGATCCTCAAATGGGAAAATTTGAGAGAGTTTGCTACCGGGAAAAAGTGATGAAGGTGCACCCATGGTTTCAAGCCAAGCGAGATGGAGTTATATCCTTGCTTGATGACGTGGTCATCCCCTGGTAAAGTTGCATGAAAGCAAGCGAGCACCCAAGAGAAATCGGGTGTTCAAGTTGAAGAGAAGAGAGCGATGCTCACAACCTACGGATTTGGCGCAGTTGGTTGTGAAAGGTTTGTTTGATATTTATCACCATTGAGTTTACCCCCATGTAGGAGTGAGGGGGAGATTTCTTGGGGTATCCCTCCTACATGGAGGAAGGAGTTCCTAAACTAGTTAAAAATGTAATTGGTTTAGAGTTGGTTACTATAATAATAATAATATTAATTATTATTATTATTATAAAGAAAAATAAAGAAAGAAATGGGTCAAAGTGGTGGGGGCTACCACTTACCTTTGGGGCTGCCACTTTGTAGAAAAGGCAAAGCCTTTGTTTTGACTGGTCACGGGCAGAAAGGCAGCCAACACAGCCGCAGAAACAGAGAGGAAA